TGATATCTTATATTGTGTGCCCTTTAATTCCCCTTTGGTCCCAGTTTTGGAGCATTTCACTTCCTTCTTTCCATTGACTACAATGAGGCTACGTCTACACTGGCATGATCTTGTGCAAGAACTCTTTTGCGGAAGAGTTCTTGTGCAAAAGCTCTTCCAGAAGAGAGCGTCTACACTGGCATGTGCCTTTGCGCAAGAGATGTGCTTTTGCGCAAGAGCATCCATGCCAGGGTAGACGCTTTCTTGCTCAAGAAAGCTCTGATGGCCATTTTGACCATAGGGCTTTCTTGTGCAAGAAATTCATGTTGCCTGTCTACACTGGCCTCTTGCGCAAGAACAGTTGCGCAAGAGGGCTTATTCCTGAGCGGGAGCATCAGAGTTCTTGCGCAAGAAGCACTGATTTCATACATTAGAATGTCAGTGTACTTGCGCAGGAATTCCCCGCCAGTGTAGACAGGCAGCAAGTTTTTGCACAAAAGCAGCTGCTTTTGTGCAAGATCTCACCAATGTAGACGCAGCCAGAGTTTTTAATCAGGCTCATGGTGTAAAACAGCAACCATTTATGCTGGAATAACATGTTTTCTTTCTGTGATAGCTGCATGATTTATTGCCCAAAGATGTACCTCACTTCAATACTGAGTATCTTACTGCAAAGCAGCAAAACAAGAGGCCATACATCCTCTATAAAGATTTGTGCACGACATCAAATGGTTTCATTCCAGTCAGCACCTTGGCAGGGTTTTACAACACATGCCATGTCTAAGTCTTAACACTTTGGCTTATAGCCAGGTAAGCAAAGACCAAATTTTTCCTACAAATGACATCTTTGGACTGGTATTTGAATCATAGCAAGCAAAATGCCAGTTTCAATTGCAGGAGAAAATGAAAATAAACGTGTGATGTAATCTATTTGCTGGCTGGTCTTATTCCCTCTTGAATTCTTACAGCAGGAGACAGCAGCTCATTTCAGTTCAAAATCTAGTGGGGTCTTGGAGAGTCAGTTTGCTGGGTGCTCTACAGGAGTTGGATTGATTAGAGTAACAGCATGAGGAGATGATGATTTCATACCAGTTCAGCTGCTTTATTCAGCGTACCATTTGACTTCAGTGACTCTAGCACGTTATCGTCTCACATACTTCCCTATTGCAGCGTATTTTGAGCTTTGTGGAGTGGGACTGACAGCCTCCGCGGGCCCCTGAGCAAGGTGTGTGTATGTTTGTGTGTGGGGGGGGAGCTCCATTCTCCCAGAAGGGACAGGGCCTCAGGTAGAAGGGGCGGTGGTGGGGCAGCCATCCCTCTGCGCCGCATGGAGTGCTGCAGCCCCCTCCCCCCACCCGCCCTCAGTGCTGCGAGGAGTGCGGGCACGATGTTCCAGCGACAATTTAAAGGAGCTGTGGCTGTTGCTGCCACAGCAGCAGTGGTGGTGGCCAGGAGCCATGGGTCCCTTTGAATGTCCAGAACCTGGGTCAGTTGCCCCCTTTCCTCTCTTGCTCCTGTCAGTGAGCCTGGAGGGGGACTTACAGCCTCCGCGTCATGAATCCACAGGTCCAGTACTCTTGGGCAGCTCTAGAACAGTCCCTGGGAGAACCCCTTCAGCTTGTCAGCCCCCATTAGAGTCACACTTTCACTGGGGTAAGCTACTTGGCTTCATCTTCTCCAAGGATTGAATCTTAGAGCCTTCAGACACCTCTTTGTGCTGTCAGCTCCCTGCTACAAGTCTACCTGAAGTGGACAGCTGAGGGAGACTTGTATAGCGAGGGGAACAATGCACCCCCAACTTCCTTGCACTGGAGTAACTCTCTCAACCAGCATTGTAAAAGCAGAAATTTTTAAATGGCTGTAACACAGCACAGGAAGCCCTTAGTTAACACAGAGAGCAGAAAGTTATATCAGAGCTGGGTCAGTCCCAGAGCCCTTTAATCAACCTTTAGTCCCAGTTTTAGAGCATCTCCCTGCTTTCCAGCAGTCCATACTTAATAAGCGTATCAGCCTCTAGTCAGTCCTTTGTCCTTGTTTTCAGGCAAACACTGTCACCTGGCCTTCTCCCTTAGTTCTTTTTCTCCAGCTAGTCATTCTCAGGTGGCTTCCTAAGAAGGTGGGCCATCCATGGTCATTAGTTGCTAGCTGCCAAACACCTGGGCAACTGGAGTGGCCATTGTCTTCTCAGATTTTCTGTGGTAATGGGGGCCCAGGCCTGGGTAGTAGGCATCAGTCACCCCCTAGATTTCTGGGTCTCTGCAAAGAGCAAACAACCTTCTCCCACCACATAGTTAACCAGGCACCACACTGGGGAAATGGAGGCACACATAATATTCATACAAAAATATTATGAAAAATTCCCATTCCACCAGACCTCTGTGATAGACTGTAGTGATCCCATCTGATGCCAAGTCTCCCAACCCTGAGTTCGGGCAGTGACCCAGTGACCACACTGCCTTATGTCCCCAAAATCCACCCGTTCTGTGCTCCCCAGTCCCTCTTGAGTTCAGTAAATTTTGCACGCAACACGCCGGTTATCGTGGTGATGCACCGACCAACCTGAGTGGCTACTCCTACAAGGAGGGAAAAGGGGGACCCAGACCTTCCCTCTCTACCAAGTCCCAGCCCGGGGCCCTAAAGTGTAGGGGTTCGCAACTCCCTACCCGACTGACGGGGCATCTCCCCGAAACTCATCAGTCCACGGGCACCAGAAGGCCCCTGCCCCAGGCTGCTTCCTCCCCTCCTAAGGTCTGGCATTTCCAGCTCTCCGACCCCTATTCCTGCCGGGATCCTTGCTGACTTCTCCTCCTCCAGACTGCCGGTGCCTCCCTCGAGCCCTCTGCATCTCGGGCCTGTTCTGGCTTGTCCTCTCCAACTGCCCTTCGGGGAGGTCCTCTCTAACCTTGGATCTCCTCTCCCTGCTGACCTATTGCCTTTTTGAATGGGCCCGCCAGCGTTTGCACCCTCCTGATGCTGTGCCTTGCTTGCATCCTGACGCAGGCTTGCATCATTCCCTGGATGCCCCGCTCCGCCCCTTCTGCCTGCCCTTTTGGGTTGGCGGCTAAACTTCTGTAGCCGGCACGTTGCCCGTGGCCGGGCACGGCTTTTCCC